AAATATATTAATTCAGGAAAACTTGGCTTATTAGGCAAATCGGGCCTTGAATAGTAGGCTGAGAAGTGAGTTCTGGCTACTAGGTACGACATATATATATATATATATATATATATATATATGTCGTACCTAGTAGCCAGAACGCACTTCTCGGCCTACTATGCAAGGCCCGATTTGCCTAATAAGCCAAGATTTCATGAATTAATTGTTTTTCGACTACCTAACCTACCTAACCTAACCTAACCTAACTTTTTCGGTTACCAAACCTGACCTAACCTATAAAGATAGGTTAGGTTAGGTTAGGTAGGGTTGGTTAGGTTCGGTCATATATCTTCGTTAATTTTAACTCCAATAAAAAAAATTGACCTCATGCATAATGAAATGGGTAGCTTTATCATTTCATAAGAAAAAATTAGAGAAAATACATTAATTCAGGAAAACTTTGCTTATTAGGCAAATTGGGCCTTGCATAATAGGCTGAGAAGTGCGTTCTGGCTACTAGGTACGACATATATATATATATATATATATATATATATATATATATATATATATATATATATATATATATATATATATATAATATATATATATATATATATATGTAGTACCTAGTAGCCAGAATGCACTTCTCAGCCTACTATGCAAGGCCCGATTTGCCTAATAAGCCAAGTTTTCCTGAATTAATATATTTTCTCTAATTTTTTCTTATGAAATGATAAAGCTACCCATTTCATTATGCATGATGTCAATTTTTTTATATTGGAGTTAAAATTAACGTAGATATATGACCGAACCTAACCAACCCTACCTAACCTAACCTAACCTATCTATATAGGTTAGGTTAGGTTAGGTAGGTTAGGTAGTCGAAAAACAATTAATTCATGAAAACTTGGCTTATTAGGCAAATCGGGCCTTGCATAGTAGGCTGACAAGTGCGTTCTGGCTACTAGGTACGACATATATATATATATATATATATATATATATATATATATATATATATATATATATATATATATATATATATATATATATATATATATATATATATATATATATATATATCGTACCTAGTAGCCAGAAAGCACTTCTCGGCCTACTAAGCAAGGCCCGATTTGCTTAATAGGCCGAGTGATTTTATTTTCAATATTTTGTGTCCTAATAGTATATATGAATTATTTTTAATTTTTTATATTAAGACCATAATTTATTGACATAGTTGTGTTAGTTTAGGTTAGGTTAAGATAGGTTAGGTTAGGTTTGGTAGGGTTGGTCAGGTTCGGTCATATATCTACGTTAGTTTTAACTCAAATTTAAACAAATTAACTTAAACATAATGAAATGGACAGATTTATCATTTCATTAGAAAAAACCTGGAAAAATATATAAATTCAGGAAAACTTGGCCTATTAGGCATATCGGACATTGCATAGTTGACCAAGTATGGCGTTCTGGCTACTAGGTACAACATATATATATACATATATATAGGTTATATATATATATATATATATAATATATATATATATATATATATATATATATATATATATATATATATATATATATATATATATATATATATATATATATATATATATATATATATATATATATATATATATATATATATATATATGTCGTACCTAGTAGCCAGAACGCACTTCTCAGCCTACTATGCAAGGCCTGATTTGCCTAATAAGCCAAGTTTTCCTGAATTAATATATTTTCTCTAATGTTTTCTTATGAAATGATAAAGCTACCCATTTCATTATGTATGAGGTTTAATTTTTTTTATTGTAGTTAAAAGTAACGTAGATATATGACCGAACCTAACCAACCCTACCTAACCTAACCTAACCTATCTTTATAGGTTAGGTTAGGTTAGGTAGCCAAAAAAGTTAGGTTAGATTAGGTTAGGTAGGTTAGGTAGTCGAAAAACAATTAATTCATGAAAACTTGGCTTATTAGGCAAATCGGGCCTTGCATAGTAGGCCAAGAAGCGCGTTCTGGATACTAGGTACGACATATATATATATATATATATATATATATATATATATATATATATATATATATATATATATATATATATATATATATATATATATATATATATATGCGAACAATCCTGAAAGATCCCCAGGACTATATGCGACTGAAAACTCACACCCCAAAAGTGACTCGAACCCATACTCCCAGGAGCAATGCAACTGGTAACTACAGGACGCCTTAATCCACTTGAAAATCACGACCAGACATAAGGAAGTGATAGCCGAAGCTATTTGAACCACTTCCCCTCCGGCACTCGGATGGTAATCTTGGCCATAGCATTTTATCAAATCACCTCATTCTTTTGGGGCTCACGTGAGGAACACAAATGCGAACAAACCTGAATGGTCCCCAGGACTATATGCGACTGAAAACTCACACCCCAAAAAGTGACTCGAACCCATACTCCCAGGAGCAACGCAACTGCTAACTACAGGACGCCTTAATCCGCTTGACCATAACGACCGGACATAAGGAAGTGATAGCCGAAGCCATTTGAACCATTTCCCCGCCGGCACTCGGATGGTAATCTTGGGCATAGCATTTTATCAAATCACCTCATTCTTTGGGGCACACGTGAGGAACACAAATGTGAACAAGCCTGAAAGGTCTCCAGGACTATATGCAACTGAAAACTCACACCCCAGAAGTGACTCTAACCCATACTTTCAGGAGCAACGCAACTGGTAACTACAGGACGCCTTAATCCGCTTGACCATCACGACCGGACATAAGGAAGTGATTGCCGAAGCTATTTGAACCACTTCCCTGCCGGCACTCGGATGGTAATCTTGGGCATAGCATAGCTGTGCACATTAATGGGTTTAGGTATTGTATGCACTAGCTCTATCTATAAATCCAACATTATGTTTGTAGCTCATCTATGTATGTACTTTTACCGGAATAAACATTTTGTGATGTATCATTGAGAATTGGATTTAATCAGAGGATTCAGTGGTATCCCAGGTGGCATTAATTTTTACAAAGTAGATGCATGGTGGTCTACAGCGCTAGCTTGAGAGTACCAATTGAGGGGTTCGAATCCTCTTCTTGGCTACCACTCTTTTTTTTTCTAGTGATAGTTTCAGAGGGTTGAGCAAAACACAGCATAAGGAAAATATTTTAATATAATCCAGTTTTATTGTATTGAAAGACAAAAGTATATGCATATAAAATATTAGTTTAGTTTATTTATTATGCACAACATACCCATCCTGTGAGCGTCAGTGGAATTTTTTAGAGTCACATAATGGGCTTATGAATGAACAACAAAATTCGTGTAGTTTAGCATCTCTGTAACCAAGCAACATAATTTGTGTGGTCAATTCATGTAACGAAGCAACAGGACAATAGTAAGTAATTTTAAAAGGAAAAATTAAAAAATTGAAAAGTCTATCTTGTATCTATTTGTTAAACACAGAAATCACAATAGCGTGATGCCTTAAATCTATGATTGAGGTCAGTTGAACTCCCGGTTGGTATTCTTTTGCCATGTCATAACACAGTCCATTAAGGCTCGTCTGGGATCCTCTCGGACATAGGTTCGAACCCTCATCATGGCCCTTGTGGATTTGTTCATTTGTATCTATTAATTTTGTAAATACATGTCTTCATCTTCATCTCTTTCTAAGAACTCCAAGAAAGGCTCATAGACCTCACTTGGCTGGTAGGAGCTAAATAAATGTTTGGCTTCAGTCAGCTTGTCAGCACACTGCTTTTAACCCTGCTTCAGAAGAGCCAATAATCCATGTTTCTCTTCTTCTGACAGAATTGGGTTTTCAATGGTGTATGTGTTAGAATCATGGAATATAATATTTAAAACATCTTAGGGTCAAATATATACTGTACCTATTTAGTTGTATATAATGCAAATATATAAAAGTATAGATTAAGTAAAACAGAAGGATACAAATAATAATTAAAGCCATATTCTCCACAGTACCACTCTTGAAAATGGAAGTGTTTTATAGTTAAAATCTGAAAGGTGATGGCAATATTACTCTTACTAATTGAACACATTTAAGTGAGTTGAGTGTTTTGAAGATCTAAATTGCGAAATGTATTTTGAATTTCTTACCTTGCAGAGACATGAAGGGAAAGAACCACATTGTAATTTTTGAATATGCTCGGATAGTTTGTCCCTTTTCTTTTTGTAGTACTGTAATCATGTTATCATTTCTTGAATGGTTAGTGATTCCTCCTCTCTACATCTCTTCTGGAGCTCAAACTTTTCCACTGCACTTCTTTTTTCAGTCAGGGACACTATAATGCAAAATGAAAATACAGTATGTGATTGACAAATTATAATAATGGGAATCATTTGTGAATTAAACATCATTAAAAATTGTACCTATAAAATTTATCTTTAGAAAACAAAATCAATTTAATGGTATTGCAGTCTTTCCATATATAAAAGTACAATTAATACAAATAATATATATATATTTGAAAATGCTGAGAAAACTAATGAATCATTAGATCTTGTGTAAATACCACTTGTGTTTTGATGAAGCAATAAATTGTGCCATGGAAGGATCCCAGTTAAAACATCTGCTTCAGACAAATCCTGATGATTCTGATTGTAGATTTTTATGAGATCTCGTAGTTTTTTTTTCTCACCTTCATTTTTGTTTCCCAATACAGCTCTCATTTTAGATGAAACTGTAAAGTTTCAGGTTGTTATAAAATATTTGACTTGCACCAATAGTGTTTTATATTGAAAAACTAATTTAACAACTGTGTACTGTATTAATGTTTAGGTTTCAGTGAACAAACAAAAAAGCAATTAATGTCTACCTGCATAAGTCGTAATCTGATTTTTGCTATGCCTTATATTCTCTCCATATGCCTCGATAGTATGCTCAATGTTGTTGGCAGAGGATCTGTTATTTAAGGATCTTGCAATGATCAGTAATTCTGATTTCCATTTCTCAATAACAGATTCTGGAACATTAAGCCTGTGAATCTCATTTGAAACTGCTGCAGCTGTCTCTGTGGCCTATTTAAAAATAAATGCCATCATATTTATTGTAAAATTTATGTTCAGAGTTACACAAAGTCTTTTGCACTCTCCTTAGTGCTTTGTCATGGTCTGAGTATGTGTTTCTTAGATTCAGACCTTGACAAAGCACCAAGGAGTCTGTGAAAAACTTGGTGTAATTCTTTACATAAATTTCACAAATACACAAGTTAGTTTTTATCCAATTTTACTTTGTCTATGAGAAGAAATTATCAATTTTGTCTTATAATATGATTAAAGATAAATAAAAACATGTATATACACTTGATTCATAGTATAGAACAATTGTATATTTTTGTATATTTATATATAATTCTATATTTTCATTGTGTAGAACAATTCATATGTTAATACCTTTCTGAATCTGGCAACTAATGCCCGAGGCATTCCATTAATTTTTCTGTGATTCCAAAAGAGTGCCGCCTCTGTCAGTTCTTCTGTACGCTCTGTGGAAATAAATTTAGTTATTCATTGACATCTTAATACTGTGTGTCCCAAAATACTGATTGGAAAGTAAGAGAATGATGATATTGATGCTGTCTTAAGTGGAATGAATTCATTGTTATTTCAGAGGAAACAAAGAGCTTAAAAATAGTGGTAGAGTAATAAGATTAAAAATATCAGGATGTGAAAGAAAGCATAAAAACAGGGACAACTTTATTTTTCAAACAAGGATTATACATGTATTTGTTGGCTGCATATGAGTATAATGCTACTTTATATGAGCCATTTTCTGCAGTTTCCTATATCCTTATATTATTTTATAACATTATTTGGATATATATAACCATTAAATATTACCATTGAACTGATTTGATTGAAAGGTACAAAATTTAGAACTTGATTAAACAAAAATTTACACATACCAGCTTTAAGCATGTTCTTAGTGTTGTTGTTATATCTTGAAAGGTAGGAAAATACTTGCTCTGCCTCCTCCCCAGATGTCAGGCCACTTTCTTCTTGCCACCGCCCTCCATACAAAACCTTTTACATAATAGCATAATGTTTGTTAAAAACTACCTTCTGTATTAACAATTTGCATTTAACATAGATAAATCCTTACATATAAGAGTATAAAATAAATTATATTTTCCAACTTACAGTAAAACAAAGTCAAAATATTATTACAGTATTAGATTATTTACCTTACAATACCATGAATGTCCTTTGGCATGTAGGACTCCCCAAAAAAGTCTTTCTTTGTCCAACTGAGAACTTCTGTTCTCTTGATGAAACCTTTAAGGCCCATGGCCAATATTTACAAATGATATCCTGACATATGAAGGACACATTTTGTGAACGGGTTATTTGCAAATAGTGGGTATAACTGTAGAGCTCTCCTGATACATATTTAATGCAGCAAGTATAATTCCATGTCTACAGGAAGCCATGCTTATGCCGGTTTCATCCAAACTTCTAAATGAAACAGGTTTCTTTTTGGCAGCTTTCAATGTCGACACTCCACACTTGTGGCTACTCTCTTGGACAAAAGTAAAATTACATATATATATATATATATATATATATATATATATATATATATAATATATATATATATATATATATAATATATATATATATATATATATATATATATATATATATATATATATATATAATACCATACACAGTCCCATACACACCACAAAGTATCAACCCCAGTTTATAGTGTCATACATATAACAAAGTGCCAACCCCATATTCTCAGTGTCATACATACCCTGGTGTACATATATATGAATGTATATTGTGTGTCATGTGTATAACCCACTCGATACCACTCCTCCCCCCCAATCCAACCCCATCCCCCCCCCCCCCCCCGCACCTCACTTCCTGAGCTGACCCTCGCCCCACCGGCCTCCACACCCAACCGCGGCCTCCACACCCAGCCGCGGCCTCCACACCCAGTTGATGCCTCCACACCCAGTTGATGCCTCCACACCCAGTTGATGCCTCCACACCCAGTTGATGCCTCCACACCCAGTTGATGCCTCCACACCCAGTTGATGCCTCCACACCCAGCCGCGGCCTCCACACCCAGCTGATGCCTCCATACCCAGTTGATGCCTCCACACCCAGTTGATGCCTCCACACCCAGCCGCGGCTTCCACACCCAGCTGATGCCTCCACACCCAGTTGATGCCTCCATACCCAGCTGATGCCTCCACACTCAGTTGCTGGCTCTACACCCAGTTGCTGGCTCCACACCCAGTTGCTGGCTCTACACCTAGTTGCTGGCTCCACACCCAGCTGATGCCTCCACACCCAGTTGATGCCCCCACACCCAGTTGATGCCTCCACACCCAGTTGATGCCTCCACACCCAATTGATGCCTCCACACCCAGTTGATGCCTCCACACCCAGTTGATGCCTCCACACCCAGTTGATGCCTCCACACCCAGTTGATGCCTCCACACGCAGTTGATGCCTCCACACCCAGCCGCGGCCCCCACACCCAGTTGATGCCTCCACACCCAGCCGCGGCCTCCACACCCAGTTGCTGGCTCCTCACCCAGTTGCTGGCTCCACACCCAGTTGCTGGCTCCACACCCAGGTGCTTTTTCCACACCCAGTTGCTGGCAGTTGCTTGGCCATGACCCAGCGTGTTGGCCCCCCTCTATAGAACAATGCATAGTTTAACTCTCCCAACCGAGTTGAAATGGAAGGGGTCCCAGTAGTCGGGCAGGACTCCTCAAGCCTTGAGGTACCAACAACTGCTCCTAAAAGAGGTTTTTGCCGTGTATTATTATAATTTGTGGGTTGGTTGGTGTTGTCGTCGTTGATCCTTCTCTACAGACAACCCAACCCACAACTCGGTAGAGTGCTTATACCTCACTAGGAGATCACTCTTGGCGCTTCTGGCTCTTAGAGAGGGGCTCAACGTCACACGTTTAGGGGATGCGGCTCCAACACTTAGCCTCGTTGTCACGTGCACACACCCACTCGAGCCGCTATGACTCCCCACTCTCTCCTTAGGTGATATGATCTCCTCAATCCCCTTTTGACTTATTAGTATTACCTTCTACCCTGTCCACAGCAGTGGTTCTTGGTTCTTTCTCTCTCTCTCTCTCTTCTTCTGTACTATTTCATGGGAAGCCTCACTAGGACAAGGGAAAACACCAGCAAATTGGAATACATTTACTGGACAAAGCACATACACAATACATACACACATATAATATTAATGAATCCTATACTCTATACTATTACAATCAGGCTGCTCTCCAACACCATCAGAACTCTATTGTCAGTTTACCAAGTGGTATCCTATCTTCTGATTCACCACCTGATACTATCAACCTCCTCAAGTAGATCAAGTCTACATACACTGTTGCACTATCAACAAGAGGAATATATACATATATATATATATATATATATATATATATATATATATATATATATATATATATATATATATATATATATATATATATATGTATATATATATATATAAATGTGTACAATGAAAATCAGCATGTGAATGCAATAACATATATCAGCGTAAATGTTCCTTGCTACACCGCAATGATCAATCGATCACCCTATCAGTCCTAGAACGCATACATCTGTAGGTAATCCAGCCTACGCCTGCAACTCTAAACTTCAGTATAAAACACTCCTTGACATAAGAATGCCAACAATCACTCACCTCTCACTGCGTCTTGCATGCTAATGACAACCAAACACTATCAACTCCCTACAAGTAATCCACCAGAACTTCCCTTCCACCTCTGGAAGTTCACTACCCTGATATCTTCAGGTTCTTCCGGGCTTCACTACCAGGATCCTCTGCAGCTCCTCCAGGCTGCTACCATGAAGTTTCCTTGAGCAACTATGGTGCTTCACCCTTCTGCTAGGTTCCTCCACAGCTCTCTTGGCTGCTACACCATGAAGTTTCCTCGAGCAACTATGGTGCTTCACCACCTCTACAGAAGCACGTGACACTCCTCTTCACTGCTTCTCCTCACAGCTCGAGGTCCTCTGCTCCACTACCTTGGAGTCTCATCAACTACTCCCTCTGTGCTGGCTTCGAAGTTCTCAGCAACTTCTTCCCCAAAGACAAACCTGCAACCCATCGACACTCCAATAAAATGTTTCCCCTTTAACACATAAACAAAAATAATCACACAATATGTTTGCCTCAAACCTCTATCTGTCCTCTACATACAGTGAGAGTGGACTCCCCCGTTTTGGGCGGGTCCATACTCCACCTCGCCTGGCGGGTGTGAGTCACACTGGGAGGGTCTTTCGCCATCAGGAGCCGGGCTCCCTCAGTTGCCTGTCAGCGCTCAGAGGAGACGGATGTCCCTCCGTGTTCCTCCTTCTCTACTCTCTTATTTCAGGCTTTCTGCTTCACCAAAACATGTCTAACTTATCAATAAACATTGCTACTGTCGCTGGGCACACGACCAACTACAAGCAATCACTGTGAACTGGCGTATATCGTGCTTACCACAGATTGTCTGGTCGAGGGCGCTCCTCCCTCTGACGAAGCTTGGTCAGGGCGCTTCCACGGCCCACAATAATGTCTCTGGGCCGTTTAATACTCTCCTCGTCGACCAGGACTTGAGACCACAACGTTCCCAGCTCGATTCCACACCTGGTACGTCTGCACACTTCTCTTCACTTCGAGATATATCACTAGGGGTTCCCTTCTGACAGGAGCTCGAACGGAGCGCGGCTTTCCCCTGCGATGTCTGGCACTCAAGTGAGGTCAAAGCCCTCCAGAAGTGAGCCTCACGCCTCCAGCAAAATGTCCACATCTCCTAGCCAGTCATTTATCTGTTTTCTTCTTCACTGCCCATAATCTTAAATTGTTATTTATATCCAAGCAACTATTTTACACATGTGTTATCACCTCAATATTTGCTAGACCTTCTAATCAAGTCAGGCTTGATGATTAACTCTCAAGGAGGGAGACTCGTTTATCCTGCAGGCTGAGATCATAACAGTATGCAACAAAAACACCGCCATAAACTCCAACGGTGGTGTTATCCGCTTTCACACCATCAACGAGGTAAGATGCAGTGGTTCCTACCAGCTTCCAAAGGGAAGCAATGGCCAGCTGCCATTGACAGTTAGAGAAGAGACTCCCATAAACCTAATCTCATCTGAAAACCTCACTCAAGCGATCATAGCGACGTCTGCTAGAACATTACCACACATCCCAAAAGCAGCCCGCCCAAATGCAGCAGCCAAACTCTGTAATCTTCTGAAAAGGGTCAATGAAGCCCCGGAAAACATTCAAGCGTGGCATAATGTTCTTCTGTTTGGCAATGTATGCCTCACCGTCCCTCCAAGGAGGGACAAATCACTTGCTTCCTCGGTCCTGAGGGCGATAAATGAATACCCAATGGGGGATAACCTAGTTCGCCTGCCTCTCCGAGCAAAACACATCCACCGCAGAAATGGTAACAACAACATACCGGAAACATACAAAATCAGAGCACAAATCCCCAAGAAAATTGAAGAGGGAAATATCGCAAGTGCTATTAGAGTCCTCACCAGTGACGAGAAAATTGCTCCTCGAAACTCAGCCACAGCACAGGCCCTGCAAAGCAAGCACCCACCCAGAGCCCCTCAAGGCGACAACATCGTTCCACCATCAGCCGACACCATTTCAGACCCATTAATCGTTGGTGAATCTGAGGTCTACAAAGCAGCCCTTTCTTTTCCACCTGGGTCAGCAGGCGGCTTTACAGGGTTAAAACCTCAACACATCAAGCAAATGTTAAATCCTGCGGTTGGTGATGCTGCAAAAGATCTTCTTATGGAACTCACAAGGTTCGTCAACATGTGCCTGGCTAGTGAGATACCTGAGGTCATCAGGCCTCTCTTTTTTGGTGCCTCCCTCTGTGCTCTTAAAAAGAAGGACGAAGGAATCAGGCCAATCGCTGTTGGCAACACTCTCCGACGCCTGATTGCCAAGGCTGCTACGAGGGTAGTCAGCCA